CCAATCACTCTGGATATATCACATAAATCACTCCTAATTTATGCAAAAATGTTTACTATATATTTATATACCTGCTGCATGTGTAAATTTTTTCAGTAAATTTAAAATTACAAACAACACTACTAAAAGACCGTTGGACAGATGACATATAAAATAAGTCCACCAGAGTGATACGGGAGCATGTACAATGAACAAATGTACCGGTAACGGGAGCCCGTGTGAGAAATAAGCTTAAGTGGTTAATATCTCTTGTGATATCTTTGATATATCAATAAAAAACACATTTTTTTTTGCAATATACTTGTTTGTGAGAACTTTAAATGTTGCGTCTTGCATCACGCTTTTCCGTAATCGCAGCACTCATCACGTCTCATTGGTCAACCCTTACAAAAGAAGTATCAACACATACTTATCTAACTAATCTACACGAGTAAGTACTCGCCTAACCTTGGCACAAGGGTGGAAGCAGTCTGCAGTGTTGTCGGATGTCTGATAATTATCTGATTCTTTAATAAAACATATCTCCAAAAAACTTTGGCCAAAATCAAGATTTAATGTACAGATACAAAATTACAAAGTGAGAATAACTGTGACTTATTATGTAAAGTGGTAAAATAGATGTTAATATCAGTTGTTATACAATCTGAAACTTTTTGGCACCTTTAGGACTTTCTTGCTAAATATAATTCATTTTGGATTGAAAATGAAAAAAAAAAAACTGGAGCACTCAAGTTTTTCTGTGCTCCGGCTCCGCTCCAGCTCCAGCAAAAACCTACAGCTCTACTGCTCTGCGCTCCAGCTCCAGGCTCCACCCCAAAGCCCTGTTAAATAAATAAAATATAAATTAAAAGTGTAAACTTCTGTGGTTACTCTTTAAGCTTCTTAGAAGATATTAGAAATAATGAAGGGCAAAATGGATCAAAATTACAGAAGTAGATGTTCTTTTAAATTGAGGATAAATAGAGTCATCTGGGCTACTAAGGGCCTTTGGGAAAAATTTCTTAAATCTTGAGGAGGACTCAGGCCCCCATCCTTCAAATGCGTGCACATGGAGGGTTGTTGTGTCCACATGGAGCCCCAGTTGCAGGCCTGGCGGGAGGGGCAGGGGGGGCTTAATCCTTATTGAACTAACAGCAGCTTATTCTGATCCTGCCAGTGACAGTCAGTAGAATTGCAGTTATCTTTATTTGTGCAGATTTTGTCTCATCTAATACATTACCAAATTAAAGATGATTATTTATAGCAGGCAGTGTAGGCAAAAAGGGATTGCTTTGGTGCCTGATTACCAGGGTGACTTATCATTATAGGAGTTTTTCATTATTATTTTTGCACTCTGTGCTCCTAGTCAAAATCAAGCTTTAGTGGGATATTAATGAAGGCTTGAAAACCTTGGTAGTGTCCCAGTACACATGAAAGTTAGTTAAATAAGTGTATTTGGGACCCTGGAAGTTGGAAAGGAATTTCCTCTTTACTGTATCTGAAAAATGGTCTGACAGGTTTTTGTTTTGTTTTTTTTCCAAATTGGGATCATCTCACATCAGAAATGTATTCAGTAGTGATATATTGATTCTAGAGATGGGTTTTAAGACAAAAGTAACTTTAGGGGTGGGGGAGGGAGAATTCCAGGAAACGGCAATTATAAAAATGTCAGCCGTGTTTATTCTTCGTAGTATAACCAGATGACACCATAGGTGGTTTCCTGGCTTATAACATTTGCAAAATATTGTTCCACAATTGTAATAGAAAGTAAAATCTTGTCAGTAATTGAATGCTTTAAAGGGAAGCTTTGATATATTTATTTTAGTCTATGGGGAGTGGAAAGAGGGTCCACTCAGAATTGTGTAAATTGTTTTTTCAGAGGTATTCCTTGCTCCAGTTCCTTTGGCCATGAGGCTCAGATCTGAGAGTGCGAGAGGACCGTAGTACTCTCGGTTGAGAATAACTTTCCTAGTGAGCCCTACTAGCTTATGTATAGATTAACTTTGGTGTTTGCTTCAGAGGAGTGCTGGATTCCTTGCTTTGACCTATATACATTATAACAGTATGCAGTTTATAACATTTTCTTAAATTCAGTACATTGGTAGTTATTTATTTTCAAATCTTTTGATCCAAGGATAATTGCACATTTCTTGCAGGTTCTTTGTATTTTTGTGCCTGTGAAAAGAGCCAGATTGAGACCAAAGTCTGCCATTTTTCCACAGAGCAAGTGCAGTATGAGCAATGCAGTCAAACTTCCCCACTGTGCTGGAGAGACTACTGCTATAGATGCTTCAGTTTATATATCCATTCCTTCCTTGGCCTTTTTCCCAAGATTTCCAACAACTGTAGTAATTAGTGCTCATTATGATAGTAGCTTTTGTGACCACAAATAACTGGTTTCAGACCGCAAACGTACTTCACATAGGCCCCAAAACACCTCTGCTAGTAATGCCTTTTAGCACTAGTGTCTTGGGCTGAAGTTGAACAAGTGTCGTAGAAGTGAAAAGCTGTGTGTCCCTTTGCATGTCCTCTGAGTCCGACCTTTTTCTGCAGAGTATTAAACAGGATTGGCTCTGGGCTTTAAATATCTGAGACTATATGATGTAGTGATTTGGGGAGTCTCTTCACCAGAGCTATGGGATAATAAATGGGTTGGTAAACCTGGATTCAAAAATCAAGGGATATACATTTATAAATACAAAATAAAACATATACTGTAGCAGTGCATTGATTTATTTTGGGATTAGGATCAAAGGATATTCCTTAGAGCAGGGGTCGGCAACCTTTAGCACACGGCCCATCAGGGTAATCTGCTGGTGGGCTGCAAGACATTTTGTTTATGTTGACCATCCACAAGCACGGTCCCCTGCAGCTCCCAGTGGCCATGGTTCGCCGTTCCCGGCCAATGGCAGCTGTGGGAAGTGGTGGGCTGCAGGGATGTGCTGTCTGCTGCTTTCCGCAGCTCCCATTGGCCGGGAGCAGCAAACCACTGCCACTGGGACGGTCAATGTAAACAAATTGTCTTGCGGCCCGCCAGCAGATTACCCTGATGGGCCGCATGCCAAAGGTTGCTGACCCCTGTCTTATAAGTTTCTAACTGTATGTGGACCCTAATCTATGTGTTTCCTCAGGAGTATTGACAGAAGAATGTTCTTCCTTTGGAGACATGCCTTTTAAAACAAAATAATAGAAGAACGGGTGTGCTCATAGTCCCCCAAACTCTCCCTCTACTTCTGCCACAGAAATATGGACAAATACAGTAACCTTTAAAATGGCAAGACAAAGCTTTCTGTCTCTCCAGCAAAGAAACAGACGCCAGAGTTGAAGTTTCATATTATACTGTTTAAAATATCTATTTTCTGTGAACGAGGTCTGAGGAATGATTTGTTTAGTGAGGCTGTCAGGCTGTCAGTTAGCTGTTCTACACACTACTTTCCAGCGTAAAAATAAACTGCAGATGTTCCAAGACAGATGTATCAAGATACTTAACTTTGGTTTTGGGTTTCCAGGTGTTCTGGGTTTCACTAGGGATTAATCTCAGTGTTAGTGCTGAAAAAAAATGCATTCTCCATAACTCCACAGACTGAGTTTTGTGTGTGTTTAATACATTTTGACCTCTAACAACATTTTATTGTTTAAATACGAGAACAAAAACACATTGCTTGTCTTTTCTTCCCATAATAAGTAAACCAAAATAAGTTATTCATAATAGGTCCCCTGTTGTGGAAGATGTTGAGTACTCTTCTCTCGTCATAGGTTTTGGAACTAGTGGTGCTGGGGGTGCTGTCACACCCCCTGGCTTTTGAAGCAGTTTCCATCAAATATAGGGTTTACAGTTTGGTTCAATGGCTCTCAGGACCCCCACTATAATAATTGTTCCAGCACCCCCGTCTCTTGTTGTTTGCAATGGTTGTTGGAAATATTCGGCACCTAGCAGAGTGTATCGTCTAGGAGTTGTCCCACAATGTTGGACCTGTTGTTTTAACAACATAATTAATCTTCTTGCTGGAGTGATGGTTTTTCAATTAGCTTATAGTTGACTGCATGGAGCTGAGCTGGGGATGAGGAATCATCCAGATATTACTTCCAGATGAGTTTTAATTTATTTCCAAGGGCAAATAGAACTGTTTTACCTGTCTGAATTACTGTAACTTCAATTTAATAAAAAGAAAAGGAGTACTTGTGGCACCTTAGAGCCTAACAAATTTATTTGAGCATAAGCTTTCGTGAGCTACAGCTCACTTCATCACGAAAGTTTATGCTCAAACAAATTTGTTAGTCTCTAAGGTGCCAGAAGTACTCCTTTTCTTTTTGTGAATACAGACTAACACGGCTGCTACTCTGAAACCTGTTCAATTTAATATGCTGCTGGGTTTTTAAAACAGAAAATAATGAGAATATTGTCTGTGTGTGCTTTGAAAAACTCAAGTAAGGGATGAACTTGGTGCAAGAGTGTAAACATGGCACTTACAGCTGTATTTCCCGCAATATGCTTGATGGCTGGCACTTGCATGACATATTGGCTTGTTCCTTCTTCGCGTGTAGAATATGTAACTGGATACAATTGGCTATGGTTCAACTAAAGTTACACTGTTTTGTGTATCATCTCATCACAGCTGCAAAGTAATTACTTCCAGCATTGGGTCTTCCACCTTGACAGGATGCTAAATGTGTAAGGAAGAGATGAGGCGAAGCTGATTCAATTTTGGCTTTTATAAATGCAAGATTCTCAACAACTTCAAGATTCAAGTCAGACCACTTTGTTCTCTTTTTAATTTTTAGTTATGTGATTCAGTGGTGTTCTTACATCATGCAGCATGATATGTAATGTGAAATTTGCTTTGTGAATGTAACAATAAGCCTGAGTGACTGTGTTCTTCAGGTCTAACCATGGGCCCAGCATGCATTTGAATCTGTATTCACTTACAAAATAACAAACTGGTGAGATTTCAGCAGAGCTAAAGCATGACTGGGTGGTATTCTAATAAAATACTAAGTCTTCTGAGGTCTTTTTTCCCTAGGAAAGCAGCAGGAGCTTGACGCCGAGCACCAGGACATGTATGTCGAAGCTGATCATGACCTGCACCTAACAACACGACGTTCGGTACAACCCCCTGCAGAAAGACCCGGGGAGAGACGTATGGCTGAAATGAAGAAACTCTACGGTGTGGGTGCTGCCAAAATCCAAGCCATGGAGACTGCCATGCAACTTGCCTTTGATAGGAACTGTGATAAAAAGCAGCCCAAGTACTGGCCTGTTATCCCTCTGAAACTGTGAGGGATATCTTCTGTACTAGCAGTCCTGCGCTGCAGCTGTGGGTGCCCAGTCGGGCTACACAGCTCAATGAATGAATCCGGGGTCATCACTTATTCTCCTTCCCACCCTGCCAAGCACACTCCCCCCTCTTCTTTTTAATCTGTCTACCAGAGTTTTCAGAACCTATAGCATCTCCACAGAGAAGTGCTAAATTCTTGATTTGTAGTGTAGGGGTAGTGAAATTTTACTACTTTTTAAAATATATATTTTCACTAATTTAATGTTGATCTGCCTTGACCGTGCTTGCAGGAAATGAAATAGCATTTGTTTGAACTTAGTGAGCTGGGAAGACTGTTCAGCAACACTAAAATCTCTACAAATGGTCCACTTATTTATTATTTTAGTAGCCTTGAGATCGACTTTAACACAGTACAGCTTGAAGTGTTGTGAACTCTGAACTCTCATCCTTGATTTGGGGATCCTGCAGTCAATTAGCCAGGGTACAAAATACTAAATTACTGTAGCACAGCCATTTGAATGCTTTTTGAAAGCTTTATAATAAGGCAGGAATTTTTTTATTCCAGTCTCAAACTTGGCAGGCAGAATTTCAACTCAGAAGCAAACTTATATGAAAACATGAAAAAAGAAATTTTGGCCATTTTTATTATACAACTGTTTGGTTTAATTTTTCTTTTCTTTATGTATCAAATCAATTAGACATTTTTGCTACCATGCCAGTGGCGAGGCTTAGGTTCCCGTTCTGTCACCCTTCACTCATATTGGGTAGCACCTTCCTCAACTAATAATTCCACTGATTTGTGAACGTACTGAGTAAGCAATACTCACTATGAATAAAGGAGGCAGAATTGAGCCCTTAATGTTGAAAAGTGAGTACTCTGGATATGTAATAGTGAAAATCCTTCTGAAAGGCAGCTATGTGTCACTATTGTATACTTAATTTGCACCAAAATAAGTCTGCGCCCAGTCAAAGTAATATGGACTTCAAACATTTTTCTGTAGAAAGAGTTGTATAAAGAATATGATGATTAAATGGCCTCTCTGTGTAATATGCAATATGTTCATGCTACATCGTAAGTGGTTGCAAAGAAACATATTAGTATCTTAACTGTCATAAACACGGGTGACCCGTTTTTGGGTTGGAGAAGGCTGAGGCTGAAGTTCCAACAGTTTAATTTGCTCTAGCTACGTCCTGTACTTGCCTATATGGTCTAGCTGTTGTAGCATGTGTGGCATATAATAGACCACATTAATCTCTCTGCCCTTTGCTGTATCTAGGTAGACTAAAACAAATTTCAGATTTAACTTTGAATGTCCTTGTTTTTATCACTTGGTGTTACAGCTTCTTCAAAAGTACTTCTTTTTTTTTTTTTTTTTTTTTTTCATTCTGAACCCACTTCATTTTAGCATAATGTGAAGCGGTAAGATTGAACTCCTTGCAATTAAAAGCTTCCAGACTCCCAAGACTCATTACTGATCTAATTGAACTAACAAGCTCGTACACAGGGGAAAAAAATAAGTCGGGGTTGTGAAATGTAATCCTGCATTCGGTGTACTGAAATTTTGTCATGTCATGTTAGCGATCGACTATGAAATGTCAGGAATTAGTGTTTTTGTTAGGATCGCTCTTGGTTGACAGAATAAACTTTTATCTTCTCATAAAAACTCTGTGATAAAAATTATTTGTTTTCACACCCTGCCCCAGCTGTCTAACACTTTATTCAATGCCCAGGTATGGTAAACCTTCTCTTGCTCTCTCTGTTTGCCAGGGAAGGCTGCACTTTGCCAGGTGCAGCTTTAACTTAGTTAAGTTGTGAAAAGCACATATGGTGCAGATGAGGGCTTCACAGGAACCCTTGGCCCGCTCACTGCCTATCTGGTAAGGTGCAAAGTGGGTGAAGAGGGCTGCTGTGCTTTTTGAGGGAAGGGCATCTTCCCTTCCAGATCCATGTACAGATGAATGAATACAGTCTTCCCATGTGAATGGGGGACTCAGCTAGCTGCCCCTGCAACATCAGCGGCTATTTTGCTAGCTCAGGGATCCAAGTGGGGTTGGGGTGGAAGGTACACCCCCTCATACTTCTCTGCTCCTGAAGAGCTTGCCAGGGAATACACTCTTGGGATGTATATGTTTTTGTGGAGCCCCCTCCATGAAGGGGATCTTCTGTAAAGGAGGAGTAGGCCCAGGTGAAATAGATCTGAAATGCCTGGGAGTGAGAGGACAGGCTGCCAGGGGACAGTTAAAATGGAATTACAGTGGATCTGTGGAATTTAAATGCAGGTTTCATGACCTGTTCCAAGGGGGGCCAACCCTACATTCTTCTCTGTTTCCCCTTCCTCTCCAGATGAAATAATGTGGGGAAATCTCTGGGAGGAGATTTCCTCCCCCTTAATTTCTCTCTCAGGTTTTTATGGGAGGGGTTGATCTGACTCCTCATGAGTTTCGCAGGAGGGAGCCCCACACCTGATGCAACGCAGGAGTGATGCATCTTGGATTTGGAGGAGAGTTGTTCTCATCTGCAGGAGTGCACGAAAGAAGCTCCCTCCTACAGATCTCCCAGCTTTCATGGCTGTTGCATCATGTTTAGCCAACTAACTCCACACACAGGCAATTCAGTGGAGTTTTGAAGCCTTTTATTACAGTAATTCTTGTTGTTCCATCTTTTTTGTTTTGTAAAAGAATCTGGGACGTTCCGAAAGCCAGATTTTGGAAGCTTCACAGTTAAGGACTCAAATGTGAAAAAATCCGTTGAGATTGCAGGGACAACCCCTGACTCCTTGCACTTATGTATTATGCTGCAGTCCTTAATTACATGCCTTCGTAATATTGCTCAAATAATACCATGTTCTATCACTTCAGCCTCTCGAGTTGAGGAGCACAAATGGAACCTTGTATGCCTGATTCTCCCTGGCCTTACACCTTGTGCAATCATTTGCACCTGTGCAAAGTGGGAGTAAAATGCCACCAAGTCAGAATTCTTCTTTCACTGGTGATAGCATTTGACACCCTATTTGCATTCACTTTTCACAGGTGTAAATTTGACTCTACAAGGAAGAATCACGCCTAGGGTTACCATCTTTCTAATGGCTGGTAACCAGACCCCTGAGGCCCCACTCCTTGCCCCGCCTGTTCCCCCGAAGCCCCACCCCTTTTCTGCCTGTTCCCAGTGTCCCACCCCCATCACTTGCAGGGTCTGCACCAGCATTGCCGAGGCTGCTTTGCCCGCCACTTACAGGCTGCGCAGAGCCACGAGCCGCACAAGCAGTCTGGCCCCGGAGGTGGCAGCTGCTGTTGCTGGACTGCCTCCTTCCTTCCACTTAGGATTGCAACCTTTTCCATAGATCAAAAAAAATGGACATCAGGGCTTGTCAAATGGCACCTGAACACATAAGCTGAAACCCAGATTGTCAGGGTGAAAACTGAGCAGGTGGCAATCTCATGCCCTGGGTTGTAAGGAAAATGGACCTCATGGAAAATTTTGGTCTTCATCTCAGTGATTCAGCTTTCCCGTCATTAAAATGGGAACAATGCAAAAAAAAAATTAAAGATGTTCTAAAGATTGATAGTGTTTGAAAAATGCTTTGAAGATTGGAGGGAAATGGTAAAACACTTCTGGTTTATAAATGCATTAAAAATTGTCATGACTGGACACAATTTTTAACATGCAAAGTGATGACCTCCACCTCTGATACTCCCCCCCAAAAAAACTATTTGTGCTTACACAATGGAAACATTGTCAAAGATCTGTTTGTCCTCGAGAAAGTATTTCTCCATAGAGCAGCTGATTGTTTCATTTTCTCATGGTTGCAGCTGCCTGGATACGTGTGGGCTTATTAGTGGCTATTCTAACTGGCATGATCAATTTTTACCTTTATAGTTTGCTCATTTGTACTGATGCGCTCCCTCTTTTGTGTTTTTTCTCTCCATGTGGTGAAGGTCCAGAATCCTTTTGCATGGTGATTGGCTACAGATTCTATATCCCGTATTCAGATGACTCACGCAGAAGGCATTTTTAGTATACACCATTCCTGAGCAAGTTACAACAAAATCGTATCATCACCCCTGTGAAAAACATGCACAGATCCGGCCTATAAAGCATCAGTTTCTGGTGTTTGTATCTTGTTTTGTTCCTTTTGCTAAAAGATTCAGTTCAGTCTTAAAAGCTAAAGCTACATTGGTCAAATGTGGGTGCCTATGTGTAGACACCTAAATTAGTGACCTGATTTTCAGAAGTGCTGAGCACTCCCACGTTCCATCAAAGTCATAACTCACTGCTCAGCATCTCTGAAAATTGAACCGGTTTTATTTAGATTCCTAAACATGGACTTAGAGGCATAACTTTAGGCACCTAGATTGAAAATTTTGGCCTGAATAAATTGGCAAGTGGTCACTGCCCATTGTGTGAAATATGATCTCTGAGATCAGAAACTTATTTTTCTTTCTGTTCTTCTGAAAGTCCAAGGCTGTTTGGGGAAAATATTACCCAACATAGTGATGTAACAGCCACAATTCTCTAGAGTCCATCTTAGTTAACTACACATTCTATCAATATGAAAGGATCATGTTGCATTGCAGCTGAGTATTCTTACAACAGTCCTGAATCCATTTGTTTAAAGAAAGTAGCTGAACACTAGGTGAAATGTTAAGCATCCCACATGTTTGGTGGACAATACCATTCAGCCCAATCATGGCTAATCTTCCCCTCTACGTCATTTCCTATCTAGTGTCGGATCTGATTTCCTGAACTACATTGAGACTTTTTGCCTAAAAATCTTCTTCAAATCCAAAATAATATTTAAAAAATGCTACCCCAATCCTTCTGGTTTGTTTCTTCCCCAAAGAAATAAGCTCCTCTTGGGAGAAATAGTTTAGCAACCATATCTCCTCTTTTCCAAGCAGAAGTCAGAATGTTGGTTCTGGGTTTTTAATTTTTATTTTAATCTTGTATCTCTTATTTCTGTTACACTAAAGATCAAGAATGAAATCTTGGCACCAGTAAGGTCAGTGGTAGTTTGCCATTGACTTCAGTGAGGACAAGATTTCACCTGAGGTTTCCATTAGACTGCACTTTGGGGAGCAACATGGTCCCTGATTCATAGTCTTATCTTGAGGGCACATTCTTCTTATAAAATTCCTTCTTACTTGATACTCATTGTTTACCTAATTTTTGCTGCTTCATGTGAGAAAAGTAAACCACTCACATTCCTTTCCACCGACATTTTACACAATCCTCAATTTTTTAACACCACTCTCAGGAGCTCTTTTTTTCTTTTCTTTTTTTTGCAGCTGAGAAGCATATCACTCTGACCATCATGGGTCAGATTTGTTCTTGGTATAACCAGGTGCACTTCTGTTGAAGTCAGAAGATTTCTGGTAACAATTTTAATTACTTTTTAAAAATTTTGTTGAGCTCTGAGGAGTAATGTTGATGGGCACATAAACACGGGTGATAAGAATATTATCAATGTTTGTACTATCGTAATCCTTAGAGGCCCCAACTCCAGCCAGAGCACCATTGTACAAACATACCGTGAAAAGTAGTCCATGCCCAGTATTTTATTAAGCTCTACGTTCTCAAAATTCCCTTTACAGAAATGTCTGATATAGTCAATGTTTATACTGTATAATTGAATAAATTCTGCATGATTTTTACATATTAATACATTGGGTTAGTTGTTTTGCATATACTTGTCAGCAGTATTGTGAATGCAGTAGGACCTCAGAGTTACAAACACCTCAGGAATGTTGCTCATAACTGAACAAAACGTTATGGGTTTTCTTTCAAAAGTTTACAACTGACCATTGACTTAATACAGCTTTGAAACTTTACGATGCAGAAGAAAAATGCTGCTTTTAAATATCTTAATTGAAATTAAACAAGCACTGAAACAGTTTCCTTAACTTGTCAAAAAAAAATTAAACTTTCCCTTTATTTTTTTTAGTAGTTTACATTTGACACAGTTCTGTACTGTATTTTTATTATTATTTATTTATCTATTTATTTATTTTTATTTATTGGTGGTGGTTTCTGCTGCTGCCTGATTCCATACTTCTGGTTCCAAATCAGGTGTGTGGTACACCGGTTAGTTTGTAACTCTGGTGTTTGTAACTCTGAGGTTCTACTGTACTCAACCTCCTTTTACCTAAAAAGGTTGATAGAATTACTAAGTTCCTAGTGCAATTTTTATTCTATAGCAGACATACCTTGGTATTTCTTGTCTTGGTTATGATGTATTGATTATGATGTACTGTTCCTTCCATGTGTGGCAGAGGATGGAAATACTCTTGTGGTGGAAATATAAATAATAATCATCTTCCCCTTTTCCCAGCTAGCTGGGTTCAGGTTGCCAGATCGGTCTTTTCCAGGCTTGCCACTCCATTTTCATTGCATCCTCCCATACACAGTCTATCCATTGTTTTCTTGGTCACGAACTCTAGTCTCAAATGTCTCCCTAATGGGATTTCCTTCATCCATCCTTCGTATATGCCCATACTCATCTCAGCCTCCTCTCCTACAGCCTCTCTCTGATGCCACAGACCTTGGTCTCACTCCTGATTACATCATTCTGCCTGAAGTCCAGTAAAGTCACCCCTCCCACTGCTGTCAAACATCTCATTTCAATGGCTTCAAGTCTTCTCAAGCACCTTTCTTTGGTTACCCACA